CAGACAGCAGGAGAGGCGACCGTACCCCAAAGAGCTCCCCCCAGTGACATTAGGGATGTGGGTGGGGGGTCTGGGGCCCCAGGCTGCCAGCTGCAGCGTGTAGGATTTCCAAATTTCACCTGGCTTTAGCCGGCACCAGCAGCTGCTGTTAGACTGGCGTACTCGGTCCATAGGAGGGGGGTGCCCAGGGCTGACGAGGAGGGGGGGGAAGCCAGTACAAATTACCGGGGCCCGGCGGTCTGGAAGGGGGCCCGGGGCCCGGCTTCCCCCCCTCTCGTCACCTTACCGGGGCCCGGTGGTCCAGAAGGGGGCCCGGGGCCCGGCTTCCCCCCGCCTCTCGTCGGCCCTGTTTAGCCGGTCCGCCCTTGCTGGGGGGCCCAAAAAAAATTTTCACCGGGGCCCGAATCCACGCTCGGCGGCCCTGGGGGTCCCCAGCCCTGAAGTATCTCGCAGCTCCCCTCCTGCACATGGTATGGGTCCGTGGCAGTGTATGGGGAGGGAGCTGGACTTGGGGGGCGTGGGGACACCCTGCCCCTCAGGCATTTACATTGATTCTGCCCCCACAGCTGCAGCCTGCAGCCAGCCCCGTGCCTAGGGAACCCTGGGCAGCTGGCACGCCCCCGGATGCTGCGGGTCACCCCAAATTCTGCTGCAGTTTTGTCCCTTCCCTTGCCCCCCACTAGTCGGTTGCCCACCTCCTATTGTGGGGGCCCCCCGGGGCCATACCTGGTCACTCCGTCCTCCACATACTCGCTGCGGTAGAAGCCAGCCAGGTCATCGGCCAGCTCCCCCGTGAAGCTGCTGACTAGCTGGTAGCTCTTGCCTGTCTCCAGCGGCCCCTGGAGCTGCACCACCAGATACTGGGTCTGGGTCTCCAGCCAGGTCTTTGTGATGGGCGGGGGGCTGGAGCCGCTCACCCCCTGCAGCGAGACAAGGAAGCCGCTCTGCTCCGTGTAGTTGAGCTGCTTGCTGTGAATCAGGATGAGGTCGGTGGCATTCTGGCAGGAGAAGCGCACGGTGCTGTTTCCTTTGAAGATGTAGAGGCCGGAGGCGTCCTTGGTCAGGAAGGGCTGCAGGGTCACGGCGTAGTGCTCCGGGATCAGGGACTGGGGGAGTCTGAAGTTGTTCCAGGGATTGGCGGGGGCGGCCGTGGTGGCCAGGGGGGTTGTGTTGGTCACGTTGGCCGGGGTGGCCTTGCTGGGAGTGGTGGCCGGGGTGGCCTTGCTGGGAGTGGTGGCCGGGGTGGAAGTGATGCTGGGCAGCAAAGTCGCTGCATTTTTTTCCTTCTCCTGTGAGTACACGACTGAGAGGGCGATGATGGTGGCCACGGCGCCCAGGCCCAGGATCATGCTCACGATGCCCAGGGTCTTGCTGACGAAGAAGCCGGCTGCCATGGTGCGCTGCTGGGGAGGGAGACGCAGGGCAAGTAGCAGTGCCAGGCTCACCGCAGCCTTTTATCCGGCTCCCAAGGGGCTATCAGCTCTGGGTTAATGGGTGAAGTATTAAATGGCTGGGAGGCTCACAAAGGTCACTGCAGCTTGGCAGCATCTGGGACAAGCACCTCACCCCCCCACCCCGCTCCAAGAGGAAGTTAATGGGAAATAGGGCATCTGTGACAGCGCCTGTCTGGGGAAAAGCAACAGGATCAGTCTCCTTCCAAAAGGACCAGCACTGGTCTCCCACCACATGTGAAAGTGGGTGCTAATGGTTAGAGCAGGGGCCTAGGGGCAGGACTCCTGGGTTCTCTCCCCAGCCCTAGGAGGAGAGGCTACTGGTTAGAACAGGGGCCTGGACTCAGGACTCCTGGGTTCTATCCTCAATGCTGGGAGGGGAGTGGGTGCTCATGGATAAAGCAGGCAGGCCTGGGAATCAGAACTCTAGGGTTCTAGACCCATATCTGGCTTACTATGGGACCTTGGGTCATAGACTCATAGAATATCAGGGTTGGAAGGGACCTCAGGAGGTCATCTAGTCAGGGCCGGCTCCAGGGTTTTTGCCGCCCCAAGCAGACCCCCTTCCCCCCCCAACCCCAAAAAAAGCCACGATCGTGATCTGCGGCGGCAATTCGGCGGGAGGTCCTTCACTCCGAGCCGGAGTGAGGGACCCTCCGCCGAATAGCTGGATGTGCCGCCCCCCCTCCGGAGTGGCCACCCCAAGCACCTGCTTGTTAAGCTGGTGCCTGGAGCCGGCCCTGCATCCAGTCCAACCCCCTGCTCAAAGCAGGACCAATCCCCAACTAAATCATCCCAGCCAGGGCTCTGTCAAGCCTGACCTTAAAAACCTCTAAGGATGGAGATTCCACCACCTCCCTAGGTAACCCATTCCAGGGTCCCGTTAGCCTCTCTGTGCCTCAGTTTCCCCTATGTGACATGTTTACAGTCACCTCCATAGTGCCATATATAAGACACAGGCGGTCACTGGCCCACTCTACTGGGCACTAGTGGGGCTGTGTCCAGGTCTGGGAACCAGGCTTTAGGAAAGATGTGGAGGAAGTGGAGCACATCCAGAGGATAGCAACGAAAATGGCACAAGGTTTGGGAAATCTGCCCTGTAAGGAGTGGTTAAAAACTGGGCATGTTTAGCTGCGAGGGGAGCTAAGAACAGCTGGCCCATCTGCGAAGGGCTGTTCTAAAGAGGACAGGGATCATTGTGCTCTGGAACAGGCTGCCAAAGACGGTTGTGCAATCCCCATCCCGGGAAGGTTTGAAGAGCAGGTTGGACAAACCCCTGTCAGGGTTGGTCTAGGTTTTCTTGGGCCAGCCTCAGCGCAGGGAGATGTACTTGGTGGCTTCTCGAGGGCTTTCCAGCCCTGGGATTCTACAGACACCTACCTCAGCAGTGCTGAGGCCACCGCCCGGCTGTTTGCAAAGCACCTCGCGCTCCCGGGGTGGGAGGCACGGGACAAGCACAAGGCATTGTCAGGATGTTGGTGTGTGCACCTCCCTGGCTGGTGTGCATGTGTGTGCGCACACCTGCCCACACTGAAGGGCGGGCTCAGGCCAGCGTCTCACCCACCATGACGCCAGGAGCCCTTGCCTGCTCTGGGAGCCTGACATGGGGGATCCTGGGGGTACAGCCTCTGCAGGTGTGGGGGTTGCGGGATCTGCCAGCCACCTGCAAGGCTTCCAAAGTCCATGATCTGCTACATCGTGTAATAAAGTTTATCAGCTTATCGGGGGAGTGAATAACTTGCAGAGGCCCTGAACGAGGGCTCCCGGAAGTGCGTTCTCACTTCCCACATTTCAGTGCCAGCCAGGGGCGCAGGCAGAGAGAAGCCACGCCAAGGAGCATGCTCCCAGCCTCAGCGCCCAGAGTGCCCAGAGCAGGCCTAGGCAGGTCTGTAGGTGAAGGAACTTGAGTGGCTGCTGCTGTACCTGCAGAGACAGGCCAAGCACCCACGCCATGGAGCAATGCGCTGTCCACCTCCTCAGCGGGAACCGCTTGGTTCCCGGTGCCCCACATCCTGAGTCCCTACAGCCTGATCCTGCAGCATGGGGCCCCAGGTGTGGGAGCTGGGAAGTCGTGTGGGGCGTGTCTGCGAGGCAGCTCTCACTGGGAAGCCAGGGTGCTTAGCGACCCTGTCTGAGCTCTAGGACAGCAGCGTGACCCAGCCTTCAGAACAGTGCAGGGCATGGGGCCAGGCAGCCTGGGGCGCCCCTCCATTCTGGGCCCTGCTGGAGCCACCCCAGGGAGCGCACTGAGGTCCTGGGGCAGCTGGCAATGGGGAGTGAGTGGGGCCAGACCTCAGTGCAGGGCCAGCAGGACTTTGGAGAGGACGTTGTGTGGAGCAAACGCTGCACTTTGCAGAGCGTGGCAAACGCATGCAGCCTCAGCACTCCTGGGCCAGCCCCTGGCCTGCAGCTTGGCTTGGGCAGACGGCAGCTCTGTGAATGAACCAACCGATGCTGGGGGGGGAACGTTCCCAGCTTCCCCTGGCTAGCTGCTGCATGGTGGAGCCACACCCATGGCCTGCCCCTCCGCCAGGCTTTCCCGGAGCCCCCTGCCCAGCCTGGCCCAGTGTGGCCGTTCCCAGCAGCCGGGCTGGAGGCGAAGGGCCCCTGCAGCGGTTCCCACGCCGGGAGCCGGGAGCCGAGCGCGGGCTGGAAGGATGTGTTCAGACGGGGGGAGATTTGCTTTGGCAAAAGACACTGACAGTTTCCAGAAGCAAAATATCACAACCCCCCACCAGCTGGGAAGCAGCTCTCTGTCCCCCTGCTGCAGCCCCAGCCCCCCCAGCCCGGGGACCAGCCCCAGATGTTTCCGCAGGCATGGAGCTCACGCCACAGATTAGCTGTGGGGACAGAAGCAAGGTTAGGCTGCAAATAGCCCTGTCCGGAGCTATCTCTGGAATCGATCCCTGGGGCTGGGAAGGGTGAGGACCCACAGGCCCACCCTCCAACTCACACACTCAGTCCAGTCCCCCCCCCCAACTCACACACCCAGGCCAGCCCCCCACATTCTCCCAGCTCTCACACCCAGGCCAGACTCCCACCCCTCCAGCTCCCACGCCCAGGCCAGCCCCCCACATTCTCCCAGCTCGCACACTCAGTCCAGCCCCCCACCCCCAGCTCGCACACCCAGGCTAGCCCCCCACCCCCCCAGCTCCCACACCCAGTCCAGACTCCCACCCCTCCAGCTCCCACGCCCAGGCCAGCCCCCCACCCCCAGCTCGCACACCCAGGCCAGCCCCCCCATCCCCCTCAGCTCACACCACCCCCAACCCTCCCAGCCAGCTCACACACATAAACACCTCCAACAACTTGTTGACACAGAACAATCCCCACCCCTCTGTCACACACACCCTTGCTCCCCACCCCGCACAGTTCAATTCAAAGAAACTTTACTGGCAGGATGAATTCAACAAGTGTTGCCAAAGTGCAGGGAAAAGCCTAACCCGCTGGTCTGTGTCAGGGGCAAGGACACCCCCCCACCCACGGATCACTTGCTGTTTGGGGGTTGCCCCCGCCCCATCAGCCCCAAACACTTGACCCTAATCTGCCCCAGCCTTTCCAAGGGAGAAGGCTCTGGGTGAAAGCGCCCGTGTGCAGGGGTTGGAGCCGGGGAGAATGAGCTGTGTAGGCTGTGTGTGTGTAGGGGGTGCCTATGTGGTGGGAGGGTGGATGGGGTGTAAGCGTGTGTCCAGCATGTAGGGGGTGTACAAGGTGTGTATAGGGTGCGTGTATGTGTAGGGGCTGTGCAGGGTTATGGTTTGTATGGGTGCACAGGGCGTAGGGGTGGGTAGGGTGTAGAGGAAGGTATGGGATGTGTGGGTGGGTGTAAGGGGATCTATGTGTGGCAAGGGGAATGTGTGTAGGGATGTATGGGGGCATGTGGGGTGTGCAAGGTATATGGTGTGTGTGAAGGAGGAATGTACAGGGTATGCCGGGTGTATGTCTGTAGGGGGTATGCAGGGGTGTGCCTGGGGATGTACAGGGTGTGCGTACAGGGGTGTAGGGTGTGTGCACAGGGTATATGGTGTGTATAGGGGGTGTACAGGCTGTGCAGGGGGTATGACGTGTGCGTAAGAGGGTGTTCGGGGGGGGTAGGGGATTTACAGGCTGTGCAGGGTGCATGGTGTGTGTAGGAGGAAGTGCAGGGTGTGGGTAGGGTGTGCATAGGGGGTGTGCAGGGGATATGGATTGGGGGGTGCAGGGTGTGGGTGGGCTGTGTGTAGGGGGCTGTGCAGAGAATATGGATTGTGGGGGGGTGCAGGATGTGGGTGGGGTGTGCAGGGGATATGGATTGTTTGTGGGTGCCGGGTGTGGGGTGCATAGGGGCTGTACAGGGGATATGGATTGTGGGGGGGCGCAGGGTTTGGGAGGGGTGTGCATAGGGGGGTGCAGGGGGTGTGGAGAAGCAGGGACAGCCAGAGCAAGAGGCTCCCACTCACCTTTGTGGCTTCATCCCCAGGGTGTGCGCTCCAAGCTCCACAGGGGCTGCTGCCTCCAGTCCCGGCCCAAGCAGGGATGTGGATCCACAGGGCTGCGGAATCTGCCTCCGCCTCCCCTCGGCTGGCCACAAACCAGCAGCAAAAGAAAGTTTCCTCCCAGTGCTCATGGGGAAGTAACGACCTGAACCACACTCACCACCTTAACCCCTGCACTGCTGGCCAGCCCCAGGCAGGCTCGGCTGCCAACAGGGCACTGCCCTGGGGAAGCTCACAGCGTGAGCGGGCCTGGCGCGGCTGGCAGGGCCCTGCAGTGAGGGATGTGCCATGCATCGGCTCCACGGCCTGGGCAGTGCCCATGTTGCTGAGCGGGGGCCCGAGGTGAAGGCTGGATATCGGATTCTGACCCACGGACCTTGTGGTGCTGGAGTCCCCCTGCCCGGGGACGGTGCCTCCCCCCCACTGCTCCCCAGGGACCGTCCACCAAATTGCCGCCGAACAGCTGGACGTGCCGCCCCTCTCCGGAGTGGCCGCCCCAAGCACCTGCTTGACAAGCTGGTGCCTGAAGCCGGCCCTGGTTGCTACATCTGGGGCCATGGGCCCCGCCACAGCGTCAGTCACCGCTCCAGCCTCAGCGTGTTCCAGTCCCTGCCGGCCAAGCCGGCCCTTACCCCGTTCCTGGCAATGCCGGGGGCTTTCTGGAAACGTACGGCACTGTGCCAGAGAAACTCCCTGGAGCAACACGCCCCCGGCCGCCAGCAGGAGGCGTCAGCGGGGCTCCGAGCACATGCAGCGTCCCACACATCCCGCAGCCCGTGGGATGGATCCCAGCTCCTCCATCCCAAAGGCTGCTGGGCTGTTGTCTTGCCTGTGCAGAGCACTGCAGCCGAGACCCGTGGCTCACGCTCGTGCGCACGGTGCAGCGTGCCGTACAGGGGCTGGGGCCAGGGAGCTGTACGGAGCTGGGATCCGTGGGAACTGGGCTTGCTTGGGAGCCAGGCCAGGGGGACTGGGCTCTGCCAGGATCTGTCTCTTGCGACCCCAGGTCTAGTGTGAAATGGCTGTGGGAGCGAGTCCCACCCCCAGTGGCCAGGCTCCCCCACCCCACTGCCTCAGACTCCAGCCACAGCCGTTTGTGCCAGCACTGATGACCTTGGCACAGGTACTTCCTGGAGACTAGTGACCAGCCGGGGACCCCCAACTGCACCGGGGGCAGTCGGCTGCTCACAGAACCCCACATGGGCCGCTCTCCCCAGGCATGCCCTGCACTGCTCCATGGCACTGTGATGGGCCCTGCCCCCGTGCCTGTATTCCAGCGGCCCTGCCCCTGCGTGGCCAGGCCAGGCCGACTCGGCACTGCTGCCAAGGGGGGTACGGCACTGGAGGACCGGGGGCCTTTCCAGATCTGCTCGACTCGCTGTTCCAGGCTCTTTAAAGTGATTCCAGCTCTCCTGGGCCTTGGGGCAGAACCCAGAACCCAGCCAGAGCCGCTGCCTGGATGGATTTAACAACATACCCTCCACCTCTGCTGCCCCGGGCCCAGCCCTGGCGCCCGTCAGCCACCGGCGCCAGGGGATTTCACTGGGCTGCTCACATCAGAGAACCAGGGGGCCAATGCCGGAGATGCCCCAGAGGCCAGGACACAGGCCCGCGCCCCACCCCCACATCAAAGAGCCCAGTCACCAGGACTCTGGGCCCAGCGAGGAGGGCTGGAAGAATACAGGCCATGTTACGGCACGAGGAACGGGCCCAAACCACACGACCGAACAGGATGCGCTCATGAGCACACCGAGTTATTGTGTTACCGTGGAGTGACCCTGTGAAATGTCACTGCTGGCTGAGCTGTGGGCTGACGAAACAGACCTAAAACACGGGTGCGGTCAATCATTGGCTGCATAAGGAACTCCTTTTTCACACCCTGTAACAAACAAGTGAGTCATTGCCAATGATCGGCCCTCGGCTCCAGCAGGGACCAGACGAAGCAAACGCGGAAAGGGTCCTTTGCTCCCCATGCCGGAGCCCCCCAAGAGGGCACAGCCCCCCCGGGTTAGCCGCTTGGGCCAGATCTTGGTCACAGGCTAGGTTTGTTGCGCTCTGGGGTAGTCTCACTCATTTAGGCCTTTCCGGCGGGTTTCAAGCAACGAGAGCATTTGGCCCCTGGCTGAATAAGGCATTTCTGGTCCCCCCGGTGTGGAACTAGCCTCCTGCATAAACAATCATCATGGAAACAAGGGCAGTGACTGATCCCACGGGCCCTGCTGGGCTCATGGAAACCTCAGGGGAGCCGTGAAAGGGGACTGCAGCCAGGGCGGGCGGCCAAGCCGCCTCGGGGCTCAGCGCTGGGCCGAGGCCAGCTCCCGGCAGGGGACGGCGAGAGCTGGAAGGAGCACAAGCCTGCACCCGTCGCACTGAGCAGGGGCTGGCAAAGCAACAGAGCCAGTGCCCGGAGGAGCCCCCCAGGGTCCAGCGACGCACAGCAGAGGGCCCATGGCCCAGGCCTGGGGCCGGCCTCACGCCAAGCAGCTCCCCGGGAGTGCAGGCGCTGGCTGGGGGCAGGCGAGGCAGCCTAGGCCTTCGCCCCAGCTCGCTCACGGACACACTGGGAGCCAGGCCGCGCAGGGAGGGCAGCGCTGGGCACCGGGGCCGCGGGCGGAGCCAGGCCGCGGCAGGGAGGGC